AATTAACATCACTAAGCGAGGCACCACTGTATATGTCATAATTCATGATGAATGAAGCATAAAAAAGCAAACCTTATAATCTCATAATACCTTTCAGTGATATGGATACAGAAAATCCAAATTTAATTCAGTAATTCTTATAAAAGAGAAGTTTCCAGATAATTAGCCTTTTGTCTAAGTATATACATACAGTGGAGTTTGTAACTCTGACAGCAAACTGTAAAACAAGGTTCACTTTGCATTACAAAGAACTTCAAAGTTTTCTTACTCTTCTTCTTATAAAGGTCAGTTAAATGGTTATCCTTATAAAGCTAAGGGGAAAATATTAAAAAATGACCCTTTAAAAACAAACTAGATTTTCTATGTTGATAGAAAGAATTAAGCATTCCAAGAGGAATATTACAAAAATCTTGATGGTCATGCTGAAGCCTCAAACTGTTATCTACAGAATATCAAATGTCATTTGAATTAATGAACAAATCTTGGACAATTCAAATGTTTGTTTTATTTTTCCTTATTAAACATTTCCCTTATGAGTATGCATTCTTTGAGTCTCCTCTTCAATACAGTTTTTCCATGCCAAAAGCCTTGAATATCCTTAACTCTATTCCTATCAACAAGCAAAATAGCTGAACAGGATATGCATGGATGTAAGCAACAGAGTGTTGTTGTTGTTGTTGTCTACTGCCAGATTCATAATAGATAAATAGATCCTTTTTCTTTAGTGCAGAGAAAAGGATACCATCTTTGACATCAAGCTCATACCATCTTTGACATCAAGCTCAAACCAGAAGGGAAAACGCCCCCCCCCACAAAAAAGATTTAATAACATTCTCATGCTCAATGTTAACAGTCTAAATTTGGTCTTATTTGTTATTAGTCAAGCAAATACTGTGGCTGGGTTCCCAGAGAATATTTTCCTTTTTCTGAAGCACTAAATTGGTGTTGTTGTTGTTTTAAAGAACTTTAAATAAGATATGAGTCTCATCAGGAGGGCAAAGGTTGGAGAAGAAAATGACACAGAACCCAACAAGAGAACCTGAATACATCTTAAAAAACCCACTTCCAAAAAAACCCTTTAAAACTGCCTCTCTTCTAAAGAGTGGTTGTAAACATTGTCAGCAGATCAATCAGCTCTGAGTCAGACAGTTCGTGTGAATAAAAGGCACCACTTTTTTCCATGCTTTTGCCTGGAATGTTATTCTGACTGGAGTCAAACAAGGTTGGCAGGTCCTCTCTGCTGTGCTGCATACCTGTCATAATCCTATAACAAATATAGATATATGAAACTGCCTTGCATTGATATATTGCCAGCCAGCTGTGACTGGTAATCACCCTCCATGGTCTCAAAAGACTTTCCAGGTTATGCTGGCAGATATTCCTTAACTGATGGTGCCAGTCCTTGTGCTTTAGTACTGAGATATGGCTCCATCCATAAGCACATTATGTTTGCACCAACACTGGTGGCTCACTTATAGCTTAAATACTTTTGGCACTTGAGTGACAAAAACAAGTTCCTAAGTATTCAGTGACAAACTAAACCATGAATATTAAACAATGCCAGTAATTTGCCACAAGTCGTATTGTGCTGGCTCAGATTCAGCCGCATCCTGAATATATAGTCTGAGGTTCAGATTGCTTATTGAGTCAAGCTGTTAACCAGTTCATAAAAATGAGCATATGTTCACCACAGAAATAAACAGAGAGACACATCTGCAGTTTTCAAAACCAGTATAAGCTAATTGACAGAATGATCTACAGTTTATAAATATACTATTGTGGTCTTAAACCAAATATGCTACAGCGACGAGGTATAAAATCCCTCTTCCCTTCATATAATCCCACAATAATTTTCTATCAGATCTCTAAATAAATAAGAAGAAACATACTCTAGTGGTGGATTCATAATCCCTCTGGAGAAATCCCAGATCATTTCCATTTACGGTCATGTAAGCAGCAGCTGCACATTTTTGTCCCCTGAAGAAAAAGGAAGTTGACCCTAAGGTTAAGCCACATGTATTGCTTTTATATGTGCCAGCATTCCAAATTCTAATACAATTTTCAGGTTTTTCTAATGCATCCTACAAACTAAATGTGCACTATTTTTTTCAGTACATGACTGACTCATCTTCAACAAGTGCTTTAATTTGTTTTCCCTTTCTTGATAACGTACAAGCACACATGCATACCCACCTACCAACCTCACATCCCTTTGAAATATTAAATCCAAATGATGGATTAGACTCACAGTCCGTCTAGAGAATTGTACCTGGGTATAAAACAAGATTACCTGATCATGTATCTGATGACACAGCTTCTGAAAGAGACTGGCTAAAATATGTGATGTTATTGAAGCTTCACAAAAATTACAGTCCTTTGGAAAACAGAACTGCTATGCTTACAGACTTCTGTGCCAGGACAGAAAGCTTAACTGGGCTATGATTAAGAATACACATAATCATTACAGATACCTTGTGTAGCAAGGTAGTCAGACTGAAGGCCAGAAAGCCAAGTGTAAAGACATTCCAAGAATAAGGAATCTAAAGTCAAAGAAGCCTAGACACGATATCAACTAAGAAATTAGGCGGCATATAGGGTTTCCTGAAAAAGGAACAAGGGAATCCATAAAAATAAGGGCCTGGGAAGAGGTAGAGAAGACACATGAATTTCTTATGAAAAGAAAGAATATAGAAATCGCTCACGCACATTTCAAGCACAGTTAAGAATAAGTGTACTAACAAGGCAAATACACTAAACAGGTGGGTGCTGGCCAAAACTTATTGGAAATGAAATCAGGTAGAGTCTCACTATTTGAAAATAGGGAGCTAAGGAATAGTGGAGAAGAAACATTGTGTAGAAGGAAATATCCCAACAGCATGTAGGATGAAAGGGAAATCTCACACAGAAACTAAGGACTGAAGGAATCAGGGACACAGGTTGTCGTCTTATAATTAAATCATCACTCTCCAAGGTTTCAGGCAGGACTCTTTCCCATACATTCCTGGCGATATCTATTATGATCTGGTGATCTCCCATCAAATTAATAAGCAAGGTTATCTTCCAGATACATACAAAGGCAGGTTGTATGGTTCTGTGTTGTTGGAAGAAAAGAAGTAACTTCTTCCCTCATAAACAATATAGAAAAGGGAGTTTCTGGAGGTTTGAAGCATGATGTGTTCCATCACAAGGGGGATAATTTTTCTGTTTTTAAAATGAAATAACCCTGAGATACACACTTTCCGAGTCCCTGTAGTATTCACATCAACTTTCAGGTGTCTAAGTTTCAGGGTTGGGAGTTTTTGAAGAAGCATGGACATGTATACATGCCTTCACTTTTTCTGCGATAGATAACAATACTTTCAACTTTAAACAAGTTTGCAAATTTGTTTTCCTACTGAAACATGCAGCTTCGTAAACATCAAAGAAACAGTCTAGGTCTCTATATAAGCAACCTGCTGTTGTCTTGATGTTTGGCTGACAACCCTTGTCATGCCCAAGCAACACAGCCAGTATCAGGAATTATGGGGGTTCTACTCCAAAACCCCTGCAGGGCACCACATTGCCGACCCCTAATTTAGCCATTCAATAGCAAAGCAAACATAAACCGTATATATTTAACAATAAAAATGACACTATTACAAACATATGTGTCAAACAAAGAAAGCTCCAGTTAAAAAATGCAAGCATTTGCCTTCTCTTCCTAGAACAAGTGCTGCCATGTGTAGTCATGTCAAAGTAAAATAGTACCTCATCTACAGTAGAGGAAAGGTTGTTTTTAAAATGACAAACTTCTTTTTCTTGGAAGTCTCCAACAAAAACAGTAAAAAACAGGACTTCTGCTTATATCACTCTTAAAAACGTCAATTCAACACAAGCTTCAGGAAACAGACTCTTTTCTGTTGGAAAGCGATTTCATTGCATATGTGCTTTTTACAGAAAATATTTTGCCATTAATATTGTTCATTCCTTCTTATGTTACAAGCTCTCTTGTGTTCTTCTAAGTCCAGGTAGGCTAATCTATGTACCGTATTTTTCGCTCCATAAGACGCACCTTTCCATAAGACGCACCAATTTTTAGGAGAAGAAAACAGGAAAATATCTGTTTTCTTCGCTCCATAAGACGCACAGACTTTCCACCACCACCCTGTTTTGTGGGAAAAAAGTGTGTCTTATGGTGCGAAAAATACAGTAATTTTGAACATTACATGATAAACACTACACCACTAAAGAGCCACTTTAAATATACCTCAATAGGCAGGTGCCCCTCATCATGTAATGATGGCAAAGTGCCCCTTCCATATAATAAACTGGCCATGATCTTGGGATTTCAAAGGGTGCAGACTGCGCAACATCAGAGGGATATGTGTTTAGTCCAGGGGCAGGAAACTGGTTCAGGGTTGGGGTCAGATCCCCTCCAGCAGAATTCTATGCAACTTATTAGGGTGCCCAGGATGAAGTAAAAATAGCACAGAATTATATCACTGGATCCTGATCAAAGCACATTTAAACAGGGAAACAGTTCCTACCGTCAATTTAATCCAAAGTCACAGCATGCAGATAGGACTAACCACATGCAACACAATCCTGTGGATCACTGGGAAAATTGATCAGCAAAACTGATCAATTTTTGATGTGTTTCAAGGGAAACACATCCTTCAGGTTTTTTAGTTAGAAAAATTTAAGTAGCTTTTAGAAAAGCTACTTAAAATAGGGAGCATAGTCCATAAGAGAATGTATCCCAACATTCATTTTAGTGAGTTCTTACGGTCTCTGACTACCACTGAGTAATTATTATTTACTGAATTCACGGTCATGTTACTTTTCAGATTCTTTATTTAGTAAAGTAAGTACATTCCCTTTTATTCTCTGAAAAGCAAAATGCAATATTCTTCAATTACTACTCATCTTTAAATGAGGCTAGCTGAGCAATGTCCTTGTCTTTATAAAGGCTCTTCTATAACCAATCACTAGAGCTAAATTCCTGAATGACATCATGAGCCCTGCCTATGAAACTTTTGTTTTTTTTTCCCTCCATCAACTTCAGTTGTTGCTACAAAGCTGGTGACAGAGAAAGCCTTTTAGTTTCCCAGAGCATACCATCGTACAACAATTCAGGAAATCACTGGCTACTGAGGTAAGGGAAACTGCTTTTATTACAATATGCAAGGAGATGGGCATTTCTAAATTAACTAGCCCGTTTTAATTTAGGACTACAGTCTTTATTGAGAAACATTAATTCCACACTGAACTCCAGCACCAGTTGCTTTCTGCACTTCTCTTGTTTTATTGCAGACATAATCATATAAAGCATTTCTATTCTATATGAACATTCAGGAATTAGGGAAGTGGAAGAAATGATGGCAGGAAGCATGATATGAAAAAGACAATTGAACCAAGATATATTACAGTTTTGTTTGGGGGGTAAAATTCAGTTCTCTTCAGGGCACGTATCCTGGTGTTCACAATATCATAACTGTCTAGATTTTCTTACCTGTCTCTATTTTCTGTTGAAAATAGAGACTGCCCTTTTATTAATTTTTTCTTTAAAATGTAACTTACTTATGGCTAGCACTCACTTTTCATCTAAATAACTAAATTAAGATTTGAATATGTATTTTGAAGCAATATTTTACATAATGTTTGCCTAGAATCTGGAGGGTAACTAAGAAAAATGCAAGAGCTCCTGCATGCCTAGTCGGAGTTTCGATTCTCTTGTTCCGAATATCAGATGCCATGTTCTATTCCAAGGGTCTTGTCAAAGTCCCCTTAGTATTAAAAATCCCTGCCACATACTATTCCAAAAAATCAGGAGCCCGAGAGACTTTTGGGCAAATCTCTTGTTGGATAGCTTGTTTTTTGGATCCTGACCAGTGGCTGCAATCTAACATTTAGATTGCTGAAATTCCCACTAAAGTCACTACAACTGAAGTACCGCAATAGTGTGAATTGTCATTAACAGGGTATTTCTCTGAACCAGGCTTCAAATATGTTGTAGGATGCAGATTTGTGAATAATATACGATTTCCTCCATTATTAAAAGTACTTCATGGAAACCACTGAGTAACCTTAATTGCTGCCATAAACACGAATGCCATGTGGAAAGCCTTTGAAACAAATACAACGGAAATTCTATACACATTTTAATAAGGAGGGGGAGCTAATCTGAAGGCACAATTTTACAACATAATCCTAAACTTGTTCACTTGGAAGAAATTCCCTCTCTATTCAGTACAATTTACTCCATCTAGTGATACACCCTTAAAGTTAGTAAAAATCCAAAACAGGATTAGCTGACGTAATAAAGAACTAAATGTATTCCTAGCAGAAATGTGTATCTTCATCAAAAAACTCTAATATTTGATTAAGTTTCAGAAACTGACATCTTTTTTTTAAATTAATAAATGAAATGTTTAAAATTTTTATAATTCACCAATTTGCATCTGTTTGGACTCTGTAATATAAAAATACATTAGAAACAACAGTTATCTATATGTCAATTGAAGCATATTAATATTACATCATGCACTGTATTTTATAATTCAAAGGCTATCATTTTTAGTTATTTTCCTAAAACTACATATCAGTTTCACCCTACATTTTAACACAAAAGTACAAATATAAGTGTAACACACCCACATCCATCCAATAGGCTAACAGATCGTTCTACTACACCATTTGACACAGAAAGGTATCAGACTCTGGAAAATTATGAGCAATTCTGACATATGTCATGATAAATACAAACATACCTGGTCCCTGCTACATCATGATATAGCAGAACAGCACAATATAATAACTTGATTTACAAACATAAACATTGAACTTTGCTGGGCTATTCTTAGAATTAATAGCTCAACTGAACACAAACCAGAAACTGTAGAAGCAATTTAATTGCTATCAAAAACTTGAGGAATGTAATGAATGTTTCTTTCCCCCATCAAAATAGTAAAATGTGATCCATTTCATTTTCTAATGTAAGGACATGGCCCAACAGATGAAAAGAATACACTTAATGATATACTTAATAATAAAAGGCTGGAGTTCCTTTTCTTACACATATTTATTAAAATCTTCACAGAGAAAGAAATGGAGAAAATATCAAGAAATGTTATGTTGCCCTGAGATTTCTTCTCTCCTTGGTATTTCTTATAAGCAAAACTTAACATTTTTATTTCTAATCTAATCTATCCACAGATATGAGATCACCCTGTGTTTCCCTCTCTCACAAAATCATTTCTCTCAACTACCTTTGTGTCAGGACCGCATACAGAGCTTCTTCTCTAGCACAGAAGAGACACTGCTTTCCCCTTTTTACATTTCCTCTCAGCATAATCTTTATTCCCATTTCTGTTCCTCTTATCACATCTTCTTTCTAAACACACTGCTTCCAAATAATTGAGCCTGTGGTTTCTCACAGTCTCCAATTAATCTTATTGCTGCCAATTTTCAACTGTTGTTTTCTCCAGTTTCTCAACAATGCACAACATTGTTTTCTGAAATACACTCATCCTATTTCAATTTTATTTACCTTTGAGCATCTTCTTTTCTAACTGCTTTATATATACGGTATTTGACCTCATGATCATATGTTAGTTCTCCAAGTAAACCCTCAGAGCAATTTAACTGGGAGAAAGTAAAATGCTTCTCATGCACAGAGATTGCTGCCAAAGTACTGTAGTCAACACAATGATGTGGCTGAGGGATGCTAGAAAATTTTAATTGGGAAACAGCCAGCCAGGGGACTGTTGTCAGAGAATGGTTTTATGCCTCAAATTGGATGAGTTGATATTATTAGTGAGCCACCCCAGCATGGTTTATTCCCAAATTGGGGAGGAGGAGGGAGAATGAGCAGACTACAAGTGACCTCTAGTGGTCTATTGAAACCATACGCAGTACAGCCTTGCTTGTAAGAAAAGAAGTCCTATGGTGATTTAAGAATTACAAGTTTGATTTGGCCTCTTTTAACACCTGCTAACTTTGAGGATCTCATACCATTCTTTCCTCTCCCTTCTTTCCCTACCCAAACTCCAAAATTCACAATCATCTTGTGTACTGAATGTGTCTTCCTAGAAATGTTCAAGCAAATGCAGGGCCAATCATCCATGTAGGATGATGAATAGACCAAATTCAGGGACACAAAGAGAATGGGAGAGATACATAAAAGTTTAAAATACTGTCTCAATTTGCATTGGTCACTAAGAAACTAACAGGAGAAGGTGGGTGAATCCCAATTTTCCATAGTCACTATACCGTATATATATTCAAGATGCAACTAGCTTTGCCATGTCTCTTTCAATGAAATGTAGATGTTAACACTGCAGTTATAGAATTACATAAATCAGTATGAACGATTCAGCTTCAAACGCCCATGGGTTTCCCAAGAGGAAAAAAAAACTTAATCCAATGCAACAGGAATTCAGAAAAGTAATATTACAGTAATGCCAAAACCTTGCTTAAGAATGCTGTTTCATTAGCAGAAGAAAATGGACTTTTATATCCTGAATGCTACGTCAATTAATTTTAAATATTTACCCTTATTACAGTGAAGTTAAGGCTTCAATCCTACATGTAATTTACTTGGAAATAAACAAAGTGAACTGAGCAGGACCTACTTTTAAGTGCATGTGTTTAGGAATGGCCAATGACTCTCATTTCCTTCAAGGTTACACTGCTGCCACTGAGTCAGTTGCTAGTCCTTGCAAAAAGGTTGTGGGTTCCATAAAATAATTTCATCTTAAAACTTGAATTGGTTATGGGATGTGTCTGTGAAGTGTCAAGGCATGCTTATTAAAAATGTTTTAACATGTTTGTATTAATGCACTATAGTCTACTTGGAGCAAGATAAATATTTTAGCATAACGAAGTCCATATTTGGATAGATGAAGGAATGACAGTTTTATCAAGTCTTTTAAAAACACTTGTTAAACGTTTCTTCTCCAGACAAAGGTAATCACCACCCCAAATAACTGAACACAGTGTCAGGGAAATCTTTGAATGGTTAATGGCTCTTCATCTACACAGAATCAAATATAACTAAAGAGCAATGGATTTAAAGGCTAGAACTGTGAAGTTATATATATAAACCATTCTTGCTCTGAATTATACAAGCTGAACACTGTCCACCACCCACGTATTTGGAACCTCTGGTGCTTGACTTACCTCCATTTCTGCAGCAACAAAACCCAGAGGCTTTAATGAGCCTTTTAAGCCACACATACTATATGCTGCTGATCAGCTACTTTCAGCTTATCACACATGGCTAGGAAAATGTTCAATATCTTTCCTGAATCTTTCATATGATTCTATAATTGTTTGGAGCAAGTCCACTGCTCGTCTCTATGACTGTTGGCACCGTGTAAAGATGTACAATGAAGCTGTATCCAGAGGTAGATTCCAGATCATTTTAAAACCATGTGATTCCCTCTATGGTTTTCATTGAGGGCACATGGTAAAGGGTAGTGCAATCCTCCTGATATTGTCTCTTTTCCTTCCATGCATTACGCCTGCAGAATATGCCTGGTATGAGTTATGTGACTGCAGAACATATTTAGTCTTACTGTTCAATTTGTTTCCAGTGTAAAAATGACTCACACTGTAATGAATCATCACCTGTTTGTTTCTAGCATTTTGTCCACTGTGAAATAATCTACACTTGCACTGATCAAAGCACTGTTTGCCATTTGTCTAACACTTCACTCTCCTGCTTTCCCTAGCTCCGCAAAGATTCTTTAAACCCCCCAAAGAGAAGATACTAAGCACTTTGCACTGTCCCTGAAAACCTCGGCTCCTCACAAATCTTTATTAAGTTTCTGCTTTCCTGTTGCCATGGAGAAGGTCCAGTACATGACCCGTTCTGCTCTGAGGAGAGCCTCAACTATTGAGGTGAACCCACAAACACGCCAAAGGCTTCAGGAGCTCTTTGTAAATTTTTGTCTTATCTTAATATGCCTCTTGCTTATCTGCATCATTGTGATGCTTCTCTGAAGGCCGGCATCTTTGATGGATCTTCACTGCACTAAACAATGCGAAAAGCACGCCAGAGAGGGGAAGAGAACCAAACAAAACAAGAATCTTCCAGCAAATGGAAATCCTTGCAAGAAAGTCCAGCATGGACTAAGTGATTGCTCACCAGCTGCATTATTCACTTACTAGCCACCGTAACCAAGTTAAGAGCATCTGTATCAAACAGCAGTTTGAAACCTAATACTAATGATTTCAAATTATCACAAAGCTATGCATGAGCTATTTGTCTTGCTATAAAGAAAGAGGGAGGAAGTCTTTCGTGGATGTTGCAGACTAGTGTTCTTCATGACCTATTTTTATTGAATTGATGGTGTTAGTGAAAACCACCACAAAATGCTCATGAATGCTGAATGTTTGGGTTCAGGTGATTTATGTACTATTGTTAACCAACTACAACTGCTGCATTTTATGTTTCAATAATGAATGGGATGAGTTTGTCCATGAAAAAGCTATTAGTAGGTACACTTAGATCTTGATGTCTTATTAAAATATCTTGAAGAACTATCCTTAAAATTGTTACTATTTGAACTGTTAATTCAAACTATTTAATATTAAATCATTGCATGGTCACTGGCTTTTTCATCTGAAAAATAAATGTATTCAGCTAACCTATATAGAATGAAGTTGATTATCCATCTTCATCCACAAGTAGGTTGATTATCTATAGAGATCAGTGTGTCATTTGTCAGAAGCAAGCTGAAAGCAAGACTGAGATCAAGACTATACCTAAGCATACGCATAACCATAAGCATTAAGTACGTATATTTATTAATGCTGGATATTCCGTTTTGGCTTTCAAAACAAGATGGTGAGGAATAGGTGGGAGACACTATGTTGCTTGCTTCCAGATCATGCAAAATGAGATTTTAACACTGGTATTTTAATACAAAAAACCAAGCAACAGAACAAAACTAATACCCATAAAAGAAAGTGTGAATGAAAGCATTTTTGCAGAGCTGAACACTAGTTAAACAGAACCAACACTCCCAGTCTCAAATGTCTTGAGAAAAATATTCTGCTTTTTTTCATTCTATAATAGGAGCTCCAAGAAATAAGGTTTATCCGTAAATTGTCCACCAACTATGATTAAGACTACAGCTCATTTCACTATTAGCAAGTGCTCTGGAATCAATTTCAAGTTATGATTTCAAACCATGAGTTTCAATCATTGTTGTGCCTGCAGCCAATATAAATCAATCTCTGGTTAAAGTTGTTAGGGGTAATTCATGCCAAAAGAGGGTAGGTTCTACGTAACATAGCATGTGATGCTGTGTCAGACTTAATCAGAAAAGCACCAGAGAATATTATACATGCACCACTCTGCCTTTCTTTAAGCTGGCCTCGTAAATCTGTGGTATCTACACTATAGTTCCCAAGTCCAGCATCTGAAGGTTTTATATATGCATAATACTTTGGTTGTGTGAATCCAGACTGAACCTTTCTACCACTTCTATGAAGTGTGCATGCAGTCCCTTTAATTATGGATGTATAAGCTGTCACTTTAGCAGATGTCATTAGAAGCAAAATATTAATGATTTATTACATGATTCGACTTGTTCAAGATATTGAAAATTTATGTGTTGGATGTGAATATATTTTCCCTTGTTGAAAAATAGCCCTTTGTTCTGATCAAACAAATAAATTTGTGGCCAGAAATAAAAAGGAAAGCTACCTGATTAGTAAAATGCTCTCAGGTCATTTCTGTTAATTTTAGTTTTGCAAAGCAAATAAATTCAATACAACTTAATGAATTAAAGAAAGTGATTGTGATAATTTCTGCTTTAACTAAAGATCACCTTATCATTTGTAAAGAGTATCGAAATTATCACTGATGGTCAAAACCTCTGCAGCAAAGATAACTCTATAATTCTTAGAAAATGAACTGCTTTTTATTAGGAGGGAAATTTACTAAATATTACAAATCAGACAGTTAATATTTGGCAGTTTGGCCTTGGTCATAAGAACATAAGAAGAGCCCTGCTGGATCAAGCCAAGGGCCCATCTAGTCCAGCTTCCTGTCTCTCACAGTGGTCTCACCAGATGCCTCTGGGAGCACACGAGACAACAAGATACCTATCTCCCGACACCACTCCCCTGCATCTGGCATTTGGATGCATCTTCCTTTTAAACACAGAGATTATACATCCCCATCATGGCTTGTAACCTGTGATGGACTTTTCCTCCAGGAATCTGTCCAATCCCTTTTTAAAGGCATCTAAGGCCAGATGCCATCACCACATCCTGTGGCAATGGCAGTTTGGCCTTGGTCATAAGAACATAAGAAGAGCCCTGCTGGATCAAGCCAAGGGCCCATCTAGTCCAGCTTCCTGTCTCTCACAGTGGTCTCACCAGATGCCTCTGGGAGCACACGAGACAACAAGATACCTATCTCCCGACACCACTCCCCTGCATCTGGCATTTGGATGCATCTTCCTTTTAAACACAGAGATTATACATCCCCATCATGGCTTGTAACCTGTGATGGACTTTTCCTCCAGGAATCTGTCCAATCCCTTTTTAAAGGCATCTGAGGCCAGATGTCATCACCACATCCTGTGGCAAAGAGTTCCACAGATTAACAACATGCTAGGTAAAGAAATATTTTCTTTTGTCTGTTCTCACTCTCTCAACACTCAATTGGAGTGGATGTCCCCTGGTTCTGGTATTGCGTGAGAAGGAAAAGAGCTTTCCTCTATCCACTTTATCCATCTCCTACATAATTTTATACGTCTCAATCATGTCCCTCAGGCACCTTTTCTGTACACTAAAGAGCCCCAAACTCTGTAGCCTTTCCTCATAAGGAAAGTGCCCCAGCCCAGTCATCCTTTCAGTCACTCTCGCTGTCTACAGGTCATTTATGAACAGGTTGAAAAACACTGGTCCCAGGGCAGATCCCTGAGGCACACCACTTTTCACCTCTCGCCATTGTGAAAATTGCCCACTGACACCCACTCTCTGTTTTCCTGGTTCTCAACCAATTCTCAATCCATAAGAGGACCTGCCCTCTTATCCCCTGACTGTGGAGTTTTCTCAGCAGCCTTTGGTGAGAGACTGTGTCAAACACCTTCTGAAAATCCAGATAAGACAATATCCACTGGTTTGCCTGCATCCACATGCTTGTTGACCTTTTCAAAGAATTCTAAAAGGTTTGAGGTAAGACTTACCTTTACAGAAGCCATGCTGATTTTCCCTCAGCAAGGCTTGTTCTTCTGTGTGTTTTAAAATTTTATCTTGGATTAGGCTTTCCACCATCTTCCCTGGAACAGGCGTTAGGCTAACTGGCCTCTCGTTTCCCTAGGTCCCCCCTCCTTCCCTTTTTAAAGATTGGCTTGACATGTGCTATCCTCCAGTCCTCTGGTTCCAGTCAACTGTTGGAACGTTTAACCCTGTTTAAGGTTTTGATTAAATCCCAAAATTGTATTTAATTGTATTTTAATCATTTTTATATTTTATTGTATTGAGTTTTAATTGTTGTAAGCTGCCCAGAGACCTTTGGGTAGAGTGGGCGGCATATAAATTAAATAAATAAATAAAAATTCAGAAACAGCTGACATTATTATATACTATAGGTACTAAACAGTATATCTAAGATTAAAATGCCTATTTCTAAAAGACATTATAACTTAAATAGTTATTTCCTCTGTGGTAGTCAACAAGCAACATTTAATTCTGCTAGTTCATAAACAAAATGAAGTATCACATACTCATCTCCACCTGAGATGCAGTACGTGCAACACGGAAAATCTGATAGCAGTTCCACTCCATATACAAACATAAAAATCATACTAAAGAGAAAATAGTCAGAAACCTCATGACTGCAAGAAACTGCATTCATTGTTGCAAGGTTGATCAACTGCTTCAAAGCAACACAATACAATTAAAAACAATGAATTCGTTTAGTTCAGTATTTCCAACAGGAGGAGAAAGTCCGGTTTTGAATGTTTCACTTCAGCCATTTAACATCCCACTCTAAAGTCATGTGATTATGGCCAGAATCCAACAGTGTGCCTCTGCTGAATTCCACTGCCTCTTGGCAGAATGAGCAACACTCCTTCCTTTCTTGCAGCACCCACGCACCCTAAACCTCTTCTCCAGAGGATGGGGAAACCTGCTGAAGAAGGCTGTTTGGCACCACAGAGCACATGGAGAAGGATCTTGGCCTCCATGTGCAACTATAGAGAGGAAGAGGGATAATTTAGACCAACACAACCAAACTCAAATTATATTTAAAGTGACTTCATTTAATTCAATGGACACAATTGTGGTATGGAAATAGACAATTATTATAGATTATTTGAGCAGGATAGCAATAAAGGATTCCTTCCAGAGTGACTGAGTCGTTTAGGTGGCAATCCGTTCTACATGCATTACCGTATTTTTCGCACCATAAGACACACTTTCCCCCCACAAAACAAGGGGGTGGAAAGTCTGTGCGTCTTATGGAGCGAAGAAAACAGATATTTTCCTGTTTTCTTCTCCTAAAAAATTGGTGCGTCTTATGGAAAGGTGCATCTTATGAAGCGAAAAATACGGTAATTCCAGAGTAGGTAGTATCGCACCCAGTAGCATTGCTAAGTAGGTATGTACAGCACTGTGCTACAGACTGACTGCCTTTTCCAAAAGAACTTTGTGTCAAAGATTGGAAGTCTTCTGCATATGTTCAGAGACAACTGGTACTCAGGTCTATTTATGAAAACAGAAGCAGGCAGGCAGGCAGGCAGGTAGAATGGAAGCATGTGCTTCAATAGTTATCTAGCAACCCCTTCCTTAAGTTCTCAGACCCCAATACAAGCAAGCACTTGTACAATTTATTATTATGATTATGTACAGTGGTGCCTCGCTTGACAAGGATAATTCATTCCGTTCAAATCGCTGTTAAGCTAAATCCTCGTCAAGCGAAACGAAAAAGCCCAATGAAATGCACTGAAAACCAGTTCAATGCATTCCAATGGGCAAAATACCTCAGCACCCAGAGAAGATCCTCCATAGGGCGGCCATTTTCTGGTGCCTGTAATGCGAGGAATCCATCCTAATGCACAGCGGGGAGCCATTTTGCACAGCGGGCGACCATTTAGAAACCCGACAATCAGCTGTTTTTCATCGTTGTTAAGCGAAAAATTGGTTCCCGAAGCAGGGAACCGATCATTGTAAAACAGAAAAACCCCATTGAATTATCTTTTAGCGATCGCAATAGCGATCACAAAAAACTAATCACCAAGCGATTTCCTCGTCTAATGAGGTAATCGTCAAGCGAGGCACCACTGTACAGTAATCATAAATGCCTTAAAATACTTCACCTACTTTTCAAATGACATTACATTACAATACTATATGCAATTCTATATGAGCAGCAGGATTTATTAATATTAATGTTTTAACAACTGTTTTTAATATAGGGTATTATTATAATATTGCCTATTTTTAATGGTTTTAATGTTTTTAAAGTTTTAATATTGTTGTATGCCGCTCAGAGACCATTGGTAATGGCACGGCTAAAAAAATCTTGCAAATAAATAAATAAAACAATTCTCCTTTAGTCCAATGTCGGTATTTATGTATGGCCAAGTTATTACAATTTTAAAAATTGTAATAGATAGATATAAGTTAATTATGAACAACTCCAGGAGATGCAACATAGACAAACATATTCTATTCTCTGAAAGGAAAAAAAATGCTGTACAATTGCACCAAGACTTTAATAACATGGTACTGAACAAATAGTCATTTCCATGCAAAATCTCAATATTAGAAATCTTGGTTTGCTAAAGGGAGAGAGATGTTTGAGGCTTATTAGGATACTTTACTTTTAAGTGTATAAATTACTAATTACTCCAAATTCTTTAATGCTTCACTAGGTGTCCTGTGTTGAAATGAAAGACAAGATGGGCATAGCTAGGAAAAGAGACTATGCAAAACGGCAGAGTGCGCACATGAAGAAAGGCAAGATTAGCTTCAGAGCACAGCCTTGCTCTGAAACAAAACCTTTCTGCTTTAACTCATCCACTACAAAGTAATCTATATAACCAAATGGGCACAAATTCTGGCTGCCTTGATAGTGAAGTATCTAAATGCTACCCTACCCTCGATTTTTGCCTGGAGCTGTAGGATCCTTTGGGCGACTCTACTGGGTCCCTTCAAGCTCAACAAAAGTACAATATGAAGAATATCCCTACCTTTTCCCAAACTCCACGCTAGATGTTTCCCATAACTCATTTATTTCACTTCCCAAAGTGAAAAGCCTAGTATTGTAAGGCAAGAGATTATTGTCACTCTCACCAAAGGTCAATGAATCACTTGCCAACATGAAGGTGACAAGTAGAGATGTGGATAGTTCAATGTAATTCAAAACATGTCACGATTCACAGAAAGTATATTTACTCAAGTAATTCAGTAATATACACTCACTGTTCGTGATGCACATATTTTGTGAGTGGCTACTAGTATTTCATACTTAAAGATGATAGTAAACACAGATGTCTGGCAACTCTAGAGGCTTTTTTCCTTGTGATAAACATGAAAACAAATTTTGATGCACAGCAACAACTGTTGTATGGAAAAAATCTTTTTCACTTGGCATGAGAAAACAGACAAATGTCCTGTCAAGTGTGCTCACCAAGGTAAGTTACACTTGTTAAATGGTTATCTGTACTGTATCACGTTTCAGGGTGAGGTTTTTAAAAATCTCTAATGTTTATTTGTGGTTTCTATGTCAGCATGGCTTCATTACTTGTTGCTCACGAG